GTTCAACCGTTTATGCGTCATTTATATCACATTTATTCAAATTCCGAAAATGCGATTTTAATAGGAAAGTAATTAGTCGAAACAATTGTATCAAACACCTACTAACTTTCTAAGATAATTTGACAATTTAAAAACGACAAAATTGAAATTGATTGACTGTTAAAAATGGCGCCAAATATATTTTTTACCTAGAACAGCAAATTCATTAGATCCGGCACTAAATCCAGGCATTTGTAAATCCAAATTGAAAATAAAAAATTTCACGCAAGAACTCTATCGTAGCGTTTTGAGTAATCTTCGAAAAATAATAGAATTGTAATACTAAAAAGCATAGTCCAAAACAGTAAAGACTACAGAAAACGGAACGGCAAAATTGTAAAACATTGGACGCCGATTCCACACACATTTGTACGTAAGATCAGACTTTAATGATGGTGATATCAGTCAGATTAACTGTCCACTGCTGAACTTAGGCCTCCCCCTTAGGGGGATTTTCCGTAGGGCGTAATTCCCACGCTTGGTTGGCGAGATGGAAACCGCAGTTAAGTGATGTTTTAAGAAGGACGCTGATGCCTACCTCTCGGCTATTAAGTTCCCTTAATCGCCTCTTACAACAACCATAGGAAAGGAAGCCGTGACCCATTCTATGCTGTGATCACACCGCTTTATCTGACTCTAAAACAATATATACCCCACGAAGCTCCATCGCAACATCTTGACGAATAATCACCGAAACGTATTTGAATCGAAATGCCAAATGCCATTTCCATTGAGGAAATGCCAAAATGGCGCTTTGTCGTCAGCTATTCGACGCGGATTGAAAGCCTGGATTCGATATCGTATGGAGCAGCTAACTGCCGCTCTGAATGAATGCCTCCCGATACAAAAGCGCCCGTACTCGAGCCTTCATCTACGCGTTGCTATATGAATGATTTGTAGAATTTTAGTTAAAGTAGATACCTGGTACAGGTGAGGCGAGCAATATTAGTAAATTTATAAGACAATCAGGGCCCGAAATAATTGAATGAATGGTTTATTTTCTCTTCACAAAAGGTAGAATAAAGTAACAACATGAGGTACAATTTGATATGAAGACCAATTTTGTGAGAGACTGGTGCTTGCGGCAGGTTTAGAAGAACCTGTGTTACAAGTCACCAGTTATGTAAGTTCTAACCATCAGTATTCAAATATACTTGTTTACAAGCACTTATAATTATTTATCTTGCATGATTCTACTGGGTTCGGAATATTGTTATCTAATGATAAGAGTCCGCAAGAAACTCAACAGTTTCTCATTATTATTTATTATTACCAGAGGGAGACTTTGTACAAAAGTCGTTTGCTTCGGTACCTTTGTTCCATTCGTGTTTCAATCGTAAAGCAGTTGTTTGCATGGCTGTGTTTCGATTTGAAGGGTGGGATATGGCGTGAATTTACAGGGTACAGAGGAATAACACCTGAGTCCTCAGGAATGGCAACGCATGGAGAGTATCATGGGCAAAACAATATACTATGTTATGTCCATGGTACTGCTCATGTCTATAGGCGGCGGTTACCACTTTCCATCAGGTGGGCCGTCAGCTTGTTTGCCATTCTAAGTTGTATAAAAAAAAAGATAATATATTTGCTGAAAATCAGGGTATACGGATGCTAGTAATAATATGCCATTAATACGCGTGTTTTTTTTGTTTTGTTTACAAAGTCTTCCTCTGGTAAATAGAAGTATCATCGAATTTATAACTATGCATTGAAATCGTTTACTTGCAATAAAAAATAGACGTCTGATTCTATCTACACCCTTTCACTTGATACCTAATATCACCTGAATAGAAAAGAACTATACAGAACTTTTGAACGTTTGTTTATACACTTACACGAGAAAACTGTGCCTAATTGGGTTCGTTGAACAAATTTGAATTGAACTTATTTTAAGCATTAAGTAGATAGACAGAATTCGAGTCAATATTGGGCAAATTTAATGGATTGTTAAATCAAGTATTTGGTGTCTAATCTCGTTTTAATATTACCTACAACAGACTTAACGTTTATTAAGCATGTAAATATTCAATTAGACTTAAAAAAAAACTACCTAGATAGGTAGAGTAAAGATAGGTGCCTAATTTTTTTATAAAAATGTTTTAATAAAAACAGTGACAATCAATTGACAATAGGTAGGGATATTTTGCTCCATAAAAATATTTCAGTCATAAAAAGATATGAGTTTTAACGAGAAATTGCGTTTACAAGATTTTGATTCATAACAAGCAATTTAAAAACGGTATGTCTGACGGTCACAAAATGAATATAGAACCAACGCTTAAGTGAATCCTTTCAGTTACAATATAACTACTGAAGGGGGAAAGAGATTGTTAGTAATGGAGACTAAAAATCCCATTGCTAGCAATATACCTAACCAGGTCGACCTCCACGCGGTTCCCCCTGGAAACTGTCATGATTAATTCTTCATGATGAATTCATCATGATGGGCTAACTGGCCTGTTTTCATTCTCATCTATCACCCTTCACTGGTGCTCCGCCAGCGTATCCCGTTAGCGCAGGCGGGGTTACCATACCATTTTCATCCAACAAATATGACTACTGAACGACGACAAAAATACTACGCGACATTAACAACTATAAATTCGAAAGACGAATGACATTTCAAAATGGCGGCATTAGTTCCAGTTTTGGCCTTTCACACGCACAACGGCCCAAATGAGAGGCTAAGTGCGGAAAACAGAGTCTTTCTTACATCCAGTTTTGGCCACCGGGTCAGATAAGTTTGTAGCACTGTACAAAAAAGTATTGTACAAAAGATTCAAAATTGACGACGTAACCGCGACCACAGCCACAAAAAATACAGACGAATTCCAAAACATGCTTCTTCCACTCATACTCGATCCCCTTGCATTGCGTAGATAGGTATGTTGTCTCGCATTCCGTTTTTTATCGCATATATTACGGGGAGCGTTCAGAGGAATTGTTCAGGTTAATGTCAGGTGTTGAATTTCATTACTGTACAAGGATTCGCCATCTGGATGAGTGTGGGGGGTCCTTGTTCGCGCATTACTGTAGGCATTTTCTTCCACGCACAACCAAATTATGTAACCAACTCCCAGTAGCGGTATTTCCGAACAGATACATGACAAAGGAGCGTATTCCTTTCTAAATGTTCATGTTTTTATTCACTTGAAGACTATTTTAATGTAAAATTCTAAGAACAAGTTCCAAATGAAATATTTGCACGCTACATGGTTGAATGCAAAGTCTTTTCTTTAATATTAAATACTTCTAATCCGAAACACGTAGTCAGGCAAATAAAATTATCATTTTTTTTTTATACAACTTAGAATGGCAAACAAGCTGACGGCCCACCTGATGGAAAGTGGTAACCGTCGCCTATAGACATGAGCAGTACCATGGACATAACAGAGTATACTGTTTCGCCCATGCCACCCCCCATGCGTTGTCATTCCTGAGGACTCAGGTGTTATTCCTCCATACCGTGTAAATTCACGCCATATCCTACCCTTCAAACCGAAACACAGCCATGCAAACACAACTGCTTCACGGTTGAAACACGAATGAGACAGAGGAGCAAGCAATCGACTTTTGTACAAACTCTCCCTCATTCATTCATTCATTAAAAAGCTGGTAATACACTTGCAATTTCTCTGATGACGTTCCAAATGCCTTTGGGCTGCGGTAATCACTTACCATAAGGAAAACCGCATGCTCGTTTGTCCATGTTATAAAAAAAAGATGTCACTTAAAAAGAACCTTCGTGGTGATAAAACAACTAAATGTTTTAGACATTGCCAACTTTTCAACCTCCCATGTTTGGCATTTTCAAATTTAAATTATGAAAATAATATAAAAATTATAAGTTTATATTTTAATTATATTAGTTTATAAATTAAATGATGGTGCTCAAACGGCGGACGGCGTGCGGGGGGTGCTACAAGCCGCCTGAACGACGGTTGGCATCGTTCGAGCCGCAAGGACAGTACCAGTGCTACGCGGAAAGTTACGTCAAGTGCTTCTGGGGTCTCTGTGACCAGCACAAGAGCGTTGATGACTTCGCACCGAAGGCCAAAAATAATGGTTAGACATGAAAAGTATAAATATTCGTGAGTGAAAGAGTTAGAACACAATTTGTCGTCCCTCGGTTTGAGCTATAAGAGGCAACTAAAAGAACAAAGCATACCGGGCTGACCTTAAGAGTGGGCAGTCCAGCGACACCACGTTCCATGGGAGCACTCATGTCATAAGAGGCTAGAAGGTATAAGGGTTACGTCAAATTGTACGTTACTAGTTTCGACTCAAAAATAAAAACATTTCGTCTGAATTGTGGAGCTGTGCCACCAAGAAAAACGGTTGCCAACTAGGTACTTTTGAATCCGGTTGTATTATGTTTGTTACCTCCTAACTCCGTCAACTATAAATCGATTAAAAAAAAATCTTTCTTATCTAAAAGTATATACTTTCAGATTAGTTAGCAGTTTAATTTTTAAAATCAAATTAGTTTTGCCATAATTGAACGCGGTCTTTTTATGTAACAAGTTTTTTTTAATAGATAGTATGGTACGCAATATAGACTAATTGACTCATTACTAGCAAGACCTGTCAGGTCGACATCCACGCTTTCTGCCTGGAAACCATTATGATTAATACTTATTGCATTCGTCACGATGGGCTAACTGATCTGACCTTTTCATCCTCACCTATCACCTCTCACTGGTACCCCGCCAGTGTATACCGATAGCGCAGGCGGGGTTACCATGCTATTTTCACCCATTAAAAAAAATCTTGTGTGGTATACTAATCGATTGCTACATATGAACTATATATGTAAATATGTAATACATTTCACATTACCTTCTGTACATTTCAGTTGTAACACAACAGCCTAGACAGCAAGAGCTACCATTCAAGAACAACGCAATGGCCAAAGATATTTTTGTACTAAATTAAACAGTGTCAAGAAAGCAACGACAGTATTGTTTATATAAAATTTATTAACAATAGATAGAATATCAATCTTTCAAATTACATTGCGTTTCATATAATACTTGTCGTACATTCATATTTATTCTTGACTCTTTTATATAATTTTCGAATATACTCCATTCATTTAATTTAAAAGGTGGACTCCTTCGAGTATCTTTCATATACATTATGTCCAACTGATCATCAAATGCTTCATCATTCCAAGGTGTTGGTGCGTATGGCAATATCTTGGGTACAGCGTGGTAGCACAGTCTCGCTTCCTTGGACATCACCATGACGTCGCCACTGTTGAGGAGGATAGCTGATGGTACGGTCGTCTTGTCTCTACCACCAATTAGAAATATTGCTGACTGGCCAAAACTGAAATAAAATAATTAGAATCCTTACTAAAATTATAAATGCAAAAACAAGTTTGTAAATTATCCATTGGCGCCTTAACAAGTCAAACCGCGACCTCCACGCGGTTCCACTTGGAAACTATCGTGTTTAATTCTCGTGGAATTCTTCACGATGGAGAATGACTTGCTTTCGCCTTCACCTATCATCGCTTACTGGTGTCCCGCCAGCGTATACCGATAGCGCGGGCGAGGTTACCATTCCATTATCACCCATTAAAAAAAAAAAAGAAAAATATATATATAGGACTTTATTTTCAATCGACTTCAAAAAGGATATTTTCAATTCTATTGTATGTTTTTAGGTTTGTAACCTAAATACTCCATCAGTTGTAAACCGATTTGGATAATTCTTTTTTTATCTGAAAAATCTACTCCTTACAGATTGGTCCCATGGAAATTTAAAACAAATCCATTTACATGTTTAGTATTTAAATCAAAATAGTTTTGCCACAATTGAAGTAGGTTTTCTTTATGGGACACAATTTCAAAGTCTATAAAATTTCATAAACATTACCAGAGGGAGACTTTGTACAAAAGTTGTTTGCTTGGGTACCTCTGTCCCATTCGTGTTTCAACCGTAAAGCAGTTGTGTTTGCATGGCTGTGTTTCGGTTTGAAGGGTGGTATATAGCAGTTAATTTACAGGGTACAGAGGAATAACACCTGAGCCCTCAGGAATGGCAACGCATGGGGAGTATCGTGGGCGAAACAGTATACTCTGTTATGTCCATGGTACTGCTCACGTCTATAGGCGACGGTTACCACTTTCCATCAGGTGAGCCGTCAGCTTGTTTGCCATTCTGAGTTGTATAAAAAAAAAATACCTGAATGAAAATAATGGCGCCTCCAAATTGACCTCTGAGTGGTCAGTGTGAGCAGACAGGGTGGAGTTCATGTGGTAGTAGTTCACAATAGCTGCTTCTGCTCTGAACTCCTCATAGCCGAGGTACCTGGCCACTACGTCACACAGCGCTGACAACTCCTCGGGGAACACACTCTTATTATCATCACTGTATACCTGGAATAAACCATATTTCGAAATAAAAAATATTTTCAGACCACAGATCTTTATAATCTGTATCGTTCTTTGACGGAAATAATAAAGAGTTTTCATTCATTCATTCACAGATCCAACTAACAAATAACAGACTTGGGGGGAAAGGGATTGTTAGTAATGGAGACTGAGAATACCATTGCTAACAATACCCAACCAGGTCGACCTCCTCACGGTTCCCCCTGGAAACTATCATGGTTAATTCCTGATGAATTCCTCATGATAGGCTAACTGGCCTGTTTTCATTCTCATCTATCACCCTTCACTGGTGCTCTGCCAGCGTATACCGTTAGCGCAGGCGGGGTTACCATACCATTTTCACCCATAAAAAAAAAATAACAGATTTAAAATTATGTACTTTTTTTTATGCAATATGGAACAACGAGACCATAGCTCATCTGATAAGTGCCAACTGTTGCCTATAGACATTTTTAACTCCATATGTACTCATGCATTGCTATTCCTGAGGAACAAGATGGTAAAGTTTTATTGTTAACAATTTCGTAAGCACACATTATATTTTAACTTAATAACTACTAATGTAACTTACATGTAATTAGACCGAAAAAGCTAGACTAATTTCAGAATATTTGAAAAATAGTAAACCTCCAAAGTGCGTAATCTCACTACCATATTAAACTAATAGCTATGCAAACACAACTAATAATGGAGCTGCTAGATACTAGCTGCTAGCTAGTAAATCCCCAGTACTAGCAATGTCAATTTCTTTTATACCACTGAGGTGGCAAACAAGCATACAGCCCTTTTGATGGTAAGTGGTTACCGTAGCCTATGAACACCTGCAATACCAAAGGTATTACGTATGCGTTGCTGACCCTGAAGATACCTCTTTAAGCAAATATTCATCTCAAACAAACATTATGGCCTATCAGATACTAGACAGTCACCTCTAGACATGTAGTATAGATGAACATAGAAACATGTTACGAGCAGCAATGAACATCAATAGGTTAGTTTCATTTAATAACTAAAGCTGTAGTATGTAACAAAAAAGATAATATTAACATTTTACTTTGGTGTCCCAGTTGTGATGATAACCCAATGTGGTCCACCTCAGCTTCTTCATCAACTGCTTATCACATCTCCCGTGACGATGACAAGCCTCCCACCAGTCTTCTACATTTGTTTCCATGTCTATATTCCTTTTATTAGGTTTTCTAGGGTACACCTGTAAACATTTTTGTATCCAATATCTCTGGCCATTACTTGTGAATGGATTCCTTATTAAAAATAAACCAGGGTGCTCCTTGAAGGAGTATAATTGCCAACTCTTGAGCTCTCTGAGTCCTAATTGTTTGGCCCTTTCATCTTCCTGTACTGCATTCTTTTGTGTTAATAATAAAATCTGGAAATGTGATAAAATGTATCAATTAATAAAAAGCACATTAGTATATTTTCATCATCATCATAACAGCCCTTAACTGTCCATTGCTGAACATAAGCTTCCCCCTTGGGGGGGTTCTGTCCATAGTTGCCATGCTTGACAGGTGAATTGGCAATTGCAATTAGGCTTTAAAGATGTTTAAGTGGAATGCTGCCGCCCATCCCGCATCCTCATTTAGTCGCCTCTTACAACACCCATGGGAAAGGAAGGGGTGGCCTATTCAATGCTGGGTCACACAGCAATATATTTTATAGTATATTTTAGTCCTTACTAATAAATGTGCAAATGTTTATTTTACCTCTTAGCATTTCAATAAATCACCTGATTACTTAAAAAAAATTTTTTTTATACAACTTAGAATGGCAAACAAGGGGACGGCCCACCTGATGGAAAGTGATAACCGTCGCCTATAGACATGAGCAGTACCATGGACATAACAGAGTATACTGTTTCGCCCATGATACCCCCATGCGTTGCCATTCCTGAGGACTCAGGTGTTATTCCTCTGTACCCTGTAAATTCATGCCATATCCCACCCTTCAAACCGAAACACAGCCATGCAAACACAACTGCTTCATGGTTGAAACATGAATGGGACAGAGATACCCAAGCAAACAACTTTTGTACAAAGTCTCCCTCTAGTAAAGTGAAAGTGAAGTATTAAAAAAAATTCATGATTTTTTTTTAATACTTCAAATTTTATGTTGCTTAGTATGACAGATCTTAAATGAAAAATTAAAGCCAAATCATTATATAATATGATTAAAACATATCACACTGACCCCAATATTTGGCATAAGAGCAGGAAGATATTAATGACTTAGAATGGCAAACAAGCCGATGGCCTACCTAATATAAAGTGGTAACCATTGCATATGAATAACACCATAGGTGTCATAGAATACTCTGTGATACCCATGGAACCCCTCTTGTATTGCCATTCTTGAGGACTATGGTGTTATGCTTCCATAATCAGTTTCACTGCCATATCCCACCCTTCAAAGATAAACACAGAATTTTGGCAGACAAATATTATTTTGGAAAGAAAAAGACAAACTACATTTTATCTCATTCAAAATCTGTCAATCACATAAAGATTAAAAAGTTTGTTAATAAAAAAGTACTATTTTATGGATTAGCCTCTAGCAATTTATTCTCAAACTGATAGCTGTATATTGATATAAAAAAAAAAAATACTACCAATACTTTAAAATATAATCTTACCTTATCAGTATTATTGATATCCTCAATATTTATTACTTCAGCCAGTAATGGTGGTGGCTTATTAGATTTGTAATATTTAAATGTTTTCATAAATTGATCTTCCGTTTTATCCCAAAGGGTATCGACTGACGGAGGTACTTCATTTATCATAGTGATTTTAGGCAGAGTGCATACACACAAAATAAACTTTGGTCAGTATGTATTGTATCTACCTAACCTTAACCACAACATGACCACTATTGACTTCATCACACTTGATTAACATAACTCTATACAAAAGAAACAAGACAAACAGCCACCAGACGTAATAAGGTTACGGTAGCCAGAACACAAACTAAATAAAAAACATATAAAGTAAATAAAGAATAAATAGAAGTTGGCAGAAACAATAATCATAAAATGAACTCGGAATTAGATAAAATTACAGAACAGAATCCAAAATGCAGAAATACAGAAACCCAAAATAAAATGTAGATGACAACCAAGAGGAATAAAAAATTGAAACTTTAAAATTGAAATACAGTAAAAATCTTTGTTTACGTGAAACACACGGATAGAGAGAATATATCGAAAAAGTTACCATACAGTACTATAAAAGTAAGAACATGATTGTTGGAATGACGTTTTTCTATGATACTATGTTACCAAACGGTATTCCAACACAGCAGGCGATCATAGCCTTCTTAAATAGATGCCATAACGGTTAATGTTATGGCACCATTTCAAAAATAGGGCTTTACTTATAAATATATTGTTTTAAATATTAATTAACTAATATGTTTTTAATCAATTATGCAGTAATAAAAAAATATAAATATAGTTGTGTTTAATGTGATGACAAAGAATAATTTAAACATAATTTTTAATAAACTTGAATAGTGACTAAAGATTCATTATAATTAATTTAGTTAGATTTAACTATAGTGAAAACGGCAATGGTAGAAGAGGAGGGCAGCGACAATAATAAATAATATTAAGAGAGAGGCTTACCAGTATATTTTCTTAGACGTACACACTTCATACAATGTAACAACAATATGTCAATCAAATAGAAAAACAAAATAAGTATCAAAAAGACATATTCATAATATAAAAATATAATGCTAAAAAGGTAAATTATATAAAAAGAGGTCTGTCGCCAACATGGCACGCCCCGGTGCAGAGCACCAATCTAAGGAGGCGACAAAAGCAATATCACCATGTCAATCGGACTTCCATCTTGTTGTTGTGGTGACGGTACAAATCTGTGTCGGTATGGGGCGAACAGCTTCAGTCGACGGAGTATCCAACAGCAAATGAAACACTGTGAGAGCTGGCGGCTTCTCAAAATCTGCTGGGACTGGACGTGGATTTATTAGCACCTCTGCTTCTAGTAGTAGAATTAGGTGTACTTCTTCCGTTGGTGCTTTCTGTAGCAAAGTTATGGAAAAAGTATCCTTGATAAATCTGAAAAGACGTCCCCAGGAGCCACTCATTGATAGTGCTGTTGGACTCAATCATCATTCATCAATCTTGTTGTTGGCTGTAAAAACAAAGACCTTGGCAAGTTGGTTCGCTGCACCGACAAAAACCGTTAACCGTTTCGGAAACAATCTTCGACGATAAATCTTCTAAGATTATGTCGACAGCATCCACTGAAAGGCATCTCATGATTTCCAGGTAAACAGCTCGGGCGGTGAAACATGTAAACACAGCTACCTAGCACGTTTCTCGCTTGCATCTAATAGTAACCTCCACCGGGGCAAAGTTATAGAGACCGGTAAAAAAGAACGCCGATGATGCGATAACTTATCACCGAGAAGGTCACCAAATTGTGTCGCAGACGGGAGAAGCTTTATAACTATGCAAAAAACTACATTATTTGGCAACAGACCTGATGTTAGAACACTGCATGGGAGGTTCTAAAATTATACCTACAATATTAAACATTAACAAAATATTAAACATTTACAATAAAATATTAAACATTTACAATAAAATTATACAAATTCTTCGATTCAAATGGATAGAATCATCCTCTCCCAACATCAAGATTAGGTTTTTAAGCCTTCTTGATTGGTTGAGAAAAGACCTGCTGTAAAAAAGTGCTTTTCAGCCTCCAAAATTTCTTTATTTAAAAGAGGAGACAAAATTTCGGAAGAATCCTCGAAGGCGGCGCTTTATAATTTTTAAATTTGGAGGCTTTTCTAATAAAAAATTAAAATTCTTGGCAATAATGTGCACGAACAGTTGTCCTAATCAACAGAATTCATCGATCGAAATGATTAGGATTCGCGACCACCGGAGATGTTAGTGTCGTTGGCTTGTAGTGCCAATGACATCTATATCAAAAAACTTTCGATGGTGTGCTTCCACGATATAAGTTGAAAATCGAGTAGCCATGTTAGCCGTCTGTAGCTCCAATTGTCTACGTGTGCCACAGTCATAGAGGCAAGTTCACCCTCTACTTTTTTCTTACCTCTTGGTGGCATCGAAAGGCATTGGATAAAATTAGGTCGGCTACGAGGCAACTCGTGATAAAAATTTCCACTAAAATAAATATTATTTTTAACCCAATGCCATCTATCGTTTACAGCAGAAATTTTGAATAGGTCAGTAGCTACGATAGATGACACTACCTTACCTTTTGGGAAGATGGTGGTATAACATACGCCATTGTTGACGTATTTGAACAACTCTGGGGAGGTGAGGAACTTCACAGAATCTAATATATTTATGGGGTGGACACAATTGTGTACCGCACAAGCTAACTGGTGTAGTTCCTTACCACCGTCAGATGCAAGCAGCTTGGTCAAGCCTTTCGGTTGTGATACTAGTTGACGTATCAGAAGGTCAGGCTGGCCAAATTGCTCTTGCAGAGCCGCCATGATCTCTTCTGGGTCTTGTGACAAAGCCAGAAGAGAAATAACAGCGTCACGAGCGGCTCCAGGAAGAGCAGAGAGAGAGCTCGACGAAGCAACAGCGTCTGGCTGCTGCGTTCCATAGCCGTAGTGCTGAGAGGATGTCATGCCGTGGACATTTGAAGTTTCAAGGGTAGTTAGGGCCGGCGCGGTAACAGGCGCACACTCGCGCACCGCGGCTGATACGCCGGCGGTGCCGGGCGAGTATTCATGCGCGCGCTCGGCCAATTTCAGTACCGTATGCGCCTCCAATGCCGACTGAACAGGCGCGAAAGAGGGCACGTGCTCGCGCGTTGCGACACCAGCCATACCGGTGGCACAAACGCCAGGCGAGACCACGGGCTCGCGTTCTGTGGCCAGCACCAAGTTGACCTGTCTCTCAGAGAAAGAATTGTTAGTGTAGGTCACCAATTTTTCTAGTCTAGAGTTTCTAGATGATTGTGAGTGTGTACTGGCGGCCTCATCAATAGCCGCTAATTTAGCCTCTAGTTCTAGAGTCGCTACAATACGCTCCCGCTCAGCTGCAGCGCGTTCCCGCTCAGCTGCAGCGCGTTCCCGCTCAGTTGCGGCGCGGTCAAGATCGGCCTCTAATTCGGCTAAGCGACGTGCATGTAATGCTTTCGCGGCAAGTCGTTGCGTTTGAATAGAGGTTGATGAGCGATGTGGACTATAACGCGAACTAGGAATATTAATATTATGAGAAACGCCGGCGGATACCTCTGAAGGAGGAACGATTAAATCCGCTGGGGCGCTTTGTGCCGCTGCCATACCTCTTATGAGAACCATTTGAAAAAATTTTTATAATTTCGAATTTTTTTTAAATATATATCTAATAATTTTACCGGGAGAAGGACCAATGAAAGCGGCAATGGTAGAAGAGGAGGGCAGCGACAATAGTAAATAATATTAAGAGAGGCTTACCAATATATTTTCTTAGATACCAATTACCAATATATTTATATTTTCACACTTCATACAATATAACAACAATATGTCAATCAAATAGAAAAACAAAATAAGTATCAAAAAGACATATTCATAATATAAAAATATAATGCTAAAAAGGTAAATTATATAAAAAGAGGTCTGTCGCCAACATATAGTTTGTGAACAACTAGGTATAATAAGTCAAACTTAAGCTCCCGATAGTGTCAAATAAATTTACCACTTCAGTAGGAATGATAGGGAACTTTGATAAATTGTCTGATAAGGTCAACAAACAAAAAAAAATTTATTGAAATATATACATAATTAAGAATGCCATTTAGTGACTAATTTGAAAACGAAAATTTCAATATAAAATACTTTTCTGAAACAGATTGCATATACTTGTATTATCTAATTATTTATTCCATATTACCACATTTGATGAACTTGTAATATTATTTTAGTTAATTTGTAAAATTGACTAAAATTCTTCAGTGTTATTTCTACCATGATTCGCACTATTTATTGAGATGAACTAAACTTGAATTATAAGTTATGATATATTACAAAGATAAATAGTACTGGAAATTATGTATGAATAATTAATTGCATTTGAAGTATACAGTTTCTCGGTAAAATATCACTTCTTAAAGCAATTTTAGTCATATTATACATGTAATTGTAATAATAATATAACTACAAATATATGCATTTATATAATAGCCCTGTTTGTCGTTAACAGAGGAGGACTTTGCACAAAAATCGTTTACTTGAGTAATTCTGTCCCATTCGTGTTTTTACCGTGAAGCAATTGTGTTTGCATGTCTGTGTCCCGGTTTTAAGGATGGGATATAGCAGTGAATTTACAGGGTACGGAGATAATGCCTTAGTCCCCAAGAATGGCAACGCACGGGGGTGTATCATGGGCGAAATAGTATATTGTTATGTCTATGATACTATTCATGTCTATGATACGAAGGTTACCACTTTACATCAGGTGAGCCTTCAGCTTATTTGCTGTTATTAGTTTTTTTTTTAATTGATGATAATGGAATGGTAACCCCGCCTGCGCTAACAGTATACGCTGGGGGGGTACCAGTGTGAGAAGTACAACAATATGGATAATTACTCATTTATTTATATTAGTGTCATTGTATTGTTACTTCAAAAAGGTAACATGCATTATTTTTTCCAGGTTTCGCGGATATAAGGCCATTACCAATTCTTACAACTATCTTATGACTGTGACAGCTACATGACAATATTGATGTCACTGTCAATGAAGTCAGTCTTGAATGTATACTTGATTAAAAATTACGTATAAATGACAAATTGTTAAATTAATTTTATTGGTATTTATTGATTTTATTGTTATTCTGTGATTTTATTTCAATTGCAATAAATATTGTAAAATTGTAATACTGAAATGCTTATATAAATTGCAAATTAATATAAATCTGTCAAAATATAAAATATAAATCGAAATAAAGAAGTATGTATCACGAAGCTTAATCAACTCGACATTTCATATACTTTTATTGTATTAAAAACAAAATATTATCTTAGCCACGGTAAATATTAAAATGACTGACACTGGATCCGAACAACCGCAGCCCGATACGGTAAAGGTAAGATTAAAAAAAAACTGCTAATAAATCTACAGCCTGTCCTATTCGTAAACACACTAGCTTATCTGACAAAATAGTCATAGTAATGTACTAATGCAACCACTGTACAGCAGCAAAAAGAATATTTTTTATTGAAATCCATATGAATTTTAGTTTTTATTTTTGTTAATAAATTAATTAAATTATATGTACAATACATCAATAAATTAAAGTTAATATACATTTCCTGTGGCCGGTCGTAAAACTAAAAACCAAGTCTTTTTGTAATATGGACAAAATCATATTACGCCGACCCCAAATTATTGGGATAAGGGTAAAGAAGATAATATAAAATACAATTCCTTAAATACTAATACTAAATATAAGTAATCTCCCAACGCACCACATTGAGGCAGCGTACCCAAGATACTGGCAGCATTATTCCATTTTTAAGCTTCCATCGCGTGTGCAGGCTAAATGGCCACTTTTTAAAATGTGAAAATGTCCACCCATGCGACGCCGGGACGGGCCGCTAGTATTATATAATTATATGTATTGATAATAAAATCCTAACTAGTCGCTGTCTGTACATAGAAGATATATAAGAAAATCTTTTATAGGGTGGCTTTATGAACACAATAGAACCCAAAACAAAGATTTTTAGAATTTTTGTTTTTGTCTGTATGATTGTGCATGCTAATCTCAGAAACAGCTTAACCAATTTGAATGCAGTTTTTACAATTTTTTTTTATACAACGTAGAATAGCAAACAAGCTGGTAACCGTCGCCTATAGACAGGAGCAGTACCATGGACATAACAGAGTATACTGTTTTGCCCATGATACCCCTCATGCGTTGCCATTCCTGAGGACTCAGGTGTTATTCCTCTGTACCCAGTAAATTCACGCCATATCCCATCCTTCAAATCAAAACACAGCTATGCAAACACAACTGCTTCACGGTTGAAACACGAATGGGACAGAGATACCCAAGCAATTGACTTTTGTACAAAGTCTCCCTCTGATAAATAAATAAATATGTTGTATGTAAATATGTTGCAATTTGCTCCACTTAACATTTAGTGTTTGTTTTATTTCAATCGGTTCATATATAAAAAAAATTATATCAATCTGAAGAATGCCCACACGTATGAAGCTGGGGCGGGTTGCTAGTGATAAATATAAATGTAGTATCTTTGTTATTAAGGTGTGTATTTAATTATATTTTTAGGATATAGACATCACAGATGGGAAAGCCAAGCTGAGGAAATGGTTGAATGTGAACTTTAGAATTGAAATGACAGATGGCCGCGTACTTATCGGTGTATTCCTATGTACTGATAGAGACGCTAATGTTATTTTAGGTGAGTATTTATATATGCTTTTCAATGATGTATAATATGAATAAAGGATGAAGTAAGATGTAAGGATAAAGGACATTGTCACTTGATTTCTTCATATCCTTTCAATTTCCTCATTTTATAATGAAACTTTTTTCTGTGATAAACAAAATAGTAAAAAATATAAATCACTGGTTGCGAAGAGTACTTACCCACTGAACTGATATGTTTTCTAATCCATACATACATGCAGAAGAATAATTATTTTTTTTATGGCTGAAAATAGAATGGTAACTCTGCCTGCGTTATTTGTATATGCTGACGAGGCAACAGTAATTGCTCCACTCCAGATTCATTTACTAACACCCCCATTTCCCTAGAAAAATAGGTTATTGTCCATAGCAGTTGAATATGTATATTTATTTTGATTAGGTTCTTTATTTTGTGATTAAATAATTGATATTTAATATAACCATTACTGGACCAAGTATATAGATATTGTAACTACAATATATAGGTATTGCTATATATTACCTACTCCCAAATATTAATACTATTATTACATATAGCCTCCATAGAATAAATAAATAAATATATACGGACAAATCACATAGATTGAGCTAGCCCCAAAGTAAGTTCGAGACTTGTGTTATGGGATACTAACTCAACGATACTATATTTATAATACATACATACATATATAGATAAACATCCAAGACCCAGGCCAATCAGGAAAAGATCGTTTTCCATCATGACCTGGCCGGGGATCGAACCCGGGGCCTCCACGTCGCAGGCAGGCGTGTTGACTGCTGCGCCACGGAGGACGACATGATGAATGATCTAACACTTTGAAGACAAGGGGAGAGGATTGTTAGTAGTTCTGACTAGCAATCCCATTGCTAGCAATATATGGTATATTATCAGATCATCTTCCATGTGATCACTCCTGGAAACCACTTAATTATTTATGTCTTTGTATATTTTTTAAGTTATAACCATCTTAGCTTATTTAATTAAATTAATGGTACATCAACTCAATACTAGCTCATTATTAAAACTGTTTTTTAGGTGCCTGTTCAGAGTACCTCAAGAGCAGTGGTGGTGAAACTGAGGAGCCGCGCGTGTTAGGCCTGGTCATGGTGCCCGGGCGACACATAGTCTCCATACAGATAGACGACACCAACCCACCACAGAAGTTTTACTATGACGAATGATGTCCACTGCACACTGACATTGTGTAATCATTGTAAATATAATAAATATAGTTATTGTATATAATATTATGTACTTTATGTATGTTACCATACCATACCAGCCGTTTACTGTCTACTGTTGAACATAGGGATGTTTTGCCTCTAGTTGCCATGCTTAACCCGCCTGGGGTTAGCAACCACAGTTACGCTTTGATGGCGTTTTGTGGTGAAGCCCATCCCTCAACCATTAAATCCCTTTAATCATCTCTTATGACATTCACGGGAAAGGAAGAGATAGCCGATTCTATGCTAGGACCACACCGCAAATTACATAAAATTTTTACATATTTTGTACAGTAAAAAAACTTTTGTATGGTATTGATCGATTTTTATTGATAATTAATTTATTATTCGCCATGCTGATGTTTATTATAGTGATCTTGATTACCCAAATCCCTTCTCTGACATAATTTGCAAAATTAACATATAACTAAAACGTCTAAATCATGTTCATTTACAAGTACTATTGAAATAAAACTCTCAGGAGAGTGCTTAATAAATTATAATGCATCCTTCTTCAATTTTTCAATTAACTCCAGCAACACATCCACTTCCATGTAGATATTTTTCGAATCATTAGTAAATGGATTGTATTCGTCACATCCTTTACACTTTGAATCCAATGATGTAACTAATAAATCCTGAACTAGAGTTTGTATACTATTTTCTGGAGTAACAAAGATTGACTGCAAAAACTCGCGTGTTACAATTTTCTGCAGTACTATATAGGGCTGTAATATAACTTTCTCTTTTTTTATATTTCTATAAAACGATGCACATAAACATCGAATATCCTCGTCCTCATCTTGCAAAAGTGTTACAGCAGATTTTATACTATTAATTTTAACTATATCTGACAGTGTATTAAACGAATTAGCCAGTTCATTGTTAGCCAACGTTGCAATGTATCTCATATCCACATCTGTAGTTTCGGGGTCACTCAAAGAGTAAATAATCTTCGATAAATACAACAAACTATGTGCTTCTATAGTTCTAGACATTCTTGCAACAAAAGGCAACATGTACCTCAATTTATAAGGCACCCCATTAATTCGTATATGTTCTATAATTTCTTTTATTTCATTAAATGCAGTAAACTCAATTTTCAAAGATATTTCATAAAGTATCTTCCAAATAGTACTTATAGTAAATTTTTTCCTGAATACTAACAACATATGAGCTATTGTCAGAAGAATGCCTTTATCTTTTGAAATGTCGTAATTATTTTTTATTTTATGTAATATAATTTTACAGTAATATTCACAATCCGCTTGTTCTTGAATAATTTCTAAAGTTTCAGTTACTCCATTCCAATCCATTGTTTCTATGTATTTCTCAACGCGCCTATTGGCCCACGACGACGCTCCCGGTTTATGCGAATTATTCGCCACTTCTAATAACGTCTCCCTTATATCTTTCAGTTGTAAATTGTCACTAGTAAACAAATCTTCAAACAGCTGTCGACACAAATATGAATGCCTATCATCCATTATAATACTAAATTTTCTTTTTAAATTCACGAAATACGTCTGTTTTGAACAATCCGTTTTATAATACGTCAACAAGATTAGATTTCCATGTAGAACATTTTCTGATGTGTATTCTTGATTAATAACAACTGTATATACATTTTCAAATGGGTAAATATTATAAATGCATTTAGCGCTCAAACGGCGAACAATATACAGGGGACTCCCTAATAAGGACACGAGATTCGTAAGTAAACTCTCGTCGGCTTCCTTCCTCGACTCTGAATCATAAGCAAAGTTATATCTCCTCGCAATATTGGCTAGTACATTTAATATGGGGACGAGATTAGAATGCGCAAGTACCAGGTCGGGCTTGTTGCAGTGTTGTAAGCTCTGTTCGATATGTGTCCACAAGTTGGGAGAATGTGTGCGAAATTCATCGCAGGCCACCGTGGAAACCGTCTCGTCTTCCGATCCTGATGCTTTCTTCTGTCCTATCAATTTGGGTATTAACGCACCGTACAACTGAAGGGCTGCGTTTCTGTAAAATATTAAAGTAAGAAGTTAGTAAAGATTAATAATAGACTTTTTATTCCTATCTCGCAGACAAAATCGCCGGTAAAAGCTAGTTAATATTTCTTTTTTTTTTATGGGTGAAAATGATATGGTAACCTGCCTAACCTATGGTGGCCTGCGCTAACGGTATACGCTGGCGAAGCACCAGTGAAGGGTAATAAATGAGAATGAAAACAGGCCAGTTAGCCCATCTTGATGAATTCATCTGGAATTAACTATGATAGTTTCCAGGGGGAACCGCGAGGAGGTCGACCTGTTTGAGTATATGTTATGTTAGCAATGGGATTCTCAGTCTCCATTACTAACAATCCCTTTCCCCCCAGCTAGTTAATAATATAAATGCACAGAATACTGTTTAGGCGATAAAACTACTGAAAACATTGAGTAATAAAATTTGGTACATAAGTAGGTTATAGCCTAAGTTAGCATATAGGATATTTGGTGTTGATTTGAGATGAAGACAGCTGCCTCCGACATACACGAAGAAAGAAGGGGCGGTCTAGTCTATGCCCGTACCAGATGGCTTATTTATTTATTCATTAGTACATATATGTGTACATGGTGGACTTAATGCTAAAAGCATTCTCTCCCAGTCAACCATAGGGAAGTGTCAGAATACTCGAATGCGGTACTAGTAATTATTGATATACATACATACTAATATTACATATATAACAAATATACTTACACATATATAAAATATACTATATTATACACGAAATTGAGAATAATATAAAGTATTCACTGCTTATTTTATTATAAGTATAAAATTACCTTATCTGCCAATAAGCACTGGTCAAATTACTGAACGCCAGTTCCGCCAATTTCGCGGAATAATGCATCATATCTGAGGCCAAGCTGCTATCAGTGACTACTCTTGTCAAAAAGTGTACATAGATAGCTTTAGGCAGGTCCCTTTGATTGTCTATATCTGTCTCTTCGTTCTCTGTAGTTGGTACATCCTCAAGATTGTTGCATATTTCTAGAAGCGTTTCCATAAAATAATGGAATAATGGCTGGAAAGATAAATTTTTATTATTCCATACGCTACTACAATAATATAGAAGACACTCTGAATGAGAGCGGTAGGCTGACCCTAGCAGTAGGCTGGCCATAATACCACACAGGATTCTTATATATGTACTAGGCAAAATGTGTATTATTCAAATTGTATCAAAGACAATAAATACCTCTGACAACCCCATTAAAGATTAGGTACTGTCGTCAGTATATTTTTACATACATACATATCTGTCACGCCTGTCTCCCATTAGGGTAGGCAGAAACAATGGAATGCCAAATGCTTCGATTCAAACAAACCTCTTTCGTTTCTTCCACATTCATCAATCTTTTCATACACGCTCGCCGGTTACGGGTACTTTTAATTTGGCCCTTCTTCAGCACGTCGCCTATTTGGTATATTTTTAATTCTCCTTATATGCTTTATTGGTCTATCCATATACAGGGTGGCCCAAAAGTCCTTAGAAAAGTAAAATTTGAATTAAACGAAAACGGCGCGCGTGAGCGGTGCAGGGGAAGCGGGGGCAGTAACTTCGGTTTCTGGGAATTTAGTCGCGATGGAGCGTTTCACCGGAGCGGACCGTGCGTTTTGTGTGCGCGAGTTTTATCAAAACAACAATTCGGCAACCGTTGCGAGGCGTAAATTTCGAGAACACAAAGGTTTACACAACTTTGATGACACCCCAGCTCTCCAAACGATTAAGAATTGGGTTGCTAAGTTCGAGGAGACCGGTTCGACGTTAGATAAACCGCGGTTGGGTCGCCCAAGGACATCACGTACGGAACAAAACATCAACACAGTGGAACAATCTATTCGTGAAAATCCTACACAGTCAACTCGTAAGCGTTCCAGTGCATTAAACGTATCCAGGATATCGTTACAACGGATTTTGAAGAAAGATTTACTTATGCACCCTTACAAAATTCAGTTGGTGCAAGAATTAAAAGAAACTGTTGCTATTCAGAGAGTGAATTATGCTAATGAAATGTTTAATCGGTTTACTTCGTTCAATAACATAATGTTCTCTGATGAGGCACACTTCCACATTAACGGACATGTTAGTAAACAAAATTGCCGCTATTGGAGCCCGATTAATCCAATACTTAAGCACCAGAAGCCCTTACATAGCCCTAAAGTTACAGTTTGGGCCGTTATGTCAGCCCATGGCATCATAGGGCCTTACTTTTTTGAGGACGGCAGAAGGCGTGCTTTTACTGTTACTTCGGAGCGATATGTGGCCATGATCGAGGAGTTTTTCACACAAAAATTGCAAAACTTTCCAGGCTTTAATGCCCGAACATGGTTTCAACAGAATGGAGCAACTTCCCACACCTCCAATACTGCTATGCCCGTTATCCGTCAACTTATTCCAAACAAAGTTATCTCTAAGAGAGGAGACATTTCCTGGCCACCACGTAGCCCGGATCTGACTCCAATGGATTTTTTTTTGTGGGGCTACCTTAAGGCTAAAGTGTACGACTCTAACTCGCGGTCAATTAATGACCTAAAAGAAAACATCCGCAGAGAAATGGCAAGCATTTCAGCAGTGACGTGCCGCGCAGTCATCGACAATTTCAGAAGGCGTTTGCAAGAGTGCCGTGACTGTAACGGATTACATTTGGACGACGTTATTTACAAAAAATAATTCCCGTTTTTCTAGCTATATTTACAAATAAAAATATTATTCATAGTGTAATTAGTTTTATTTTAATTAATTTTTTTCATTACTAAGGACTTATGGGCCACCCTGTACTATTCACCTACAGCAGACTATATAATTTTGCCTTAGACAATTGCTAATTAATCATGGTATACAAATATAAAATTATTTTGTATATAAATGGAAAACTTCCTGCTTCTACATTCTTGGAGATCTTTAATGTTTGGATATCTTCTGGGTAACCCTTTCAAACCCAAGACTTTTTTTTCTTTCCGATTAAATATATTTTCGTATTTTGGAGCCAAGCCATCTTACCGGCACGCACGAGACTACTGCACCACCTAACGACTAAAATGATTTCTTATTGGCTGGTTTAGAATCTCACTATCATGTTATTTCAGCTTCGTGCGTAAAAATGAATTGCGCGCGGTTTTAGAATTTTTTAAAGTTACAACTTACACCCGTATCGTTCAGGTCTGAAAGGGGTAAGCGTATTTCATCTTGGGTCCTGTTGTTACTTTGCATTAGGTGAGGCAGGGCCAAGAACAAGTCAATTGTTTAATGAAAAAGAAAACTAAAGTCTATTTAAATCTATTGTTTTTTTTTTTTTACCTTGCCCTTTTTCATGTCGCTGGAAACGATTCTGTGAACCATTATGGAGAGGCCTGCGCCTCGTCTGGTCACAGAGGACTTGGCGCCCGCCTCTGATATTAACTCCGCCAGTTTGCATCTCAACAAAGAGTGTGGTAGCCGTGCAACCTCTGCTTCTTCAGGTAAAGATGTCAAGTATTGGATTGCTCGACCTGAAACAGGTTAGATATCTAAATTAAAATTTTAGAAGAAGTAGAAAATAAATACTAAGGTTGAAAAATCTCATTAGACACTGCAAACTAAACAAGCATATGGGCCAACTAGGCTTATGCCCAAAAACTGTTTGCAGATTTTGTCATAATGAAGAAGTAACGCCGCAGCACTGAATATGTGGCTGTAGCCCACTCATACATAAACGATATATCTCCTTTGGAAAACACACTATATCCCGAGGAGATAAAAAACATCGCTAAAGACATCTTAAAATTTCTATCATTGATAGGAATTAGCAGCGAACTTTAAAAAAAAGGGCGAGCACAAAAAATCATAAAAAGGTCGCCGTGTCACACATTTTTCTGCCTGAAAAAGTCGGCCTTTTAATAATAATAATAATACGTTGACAAAGAATAGTTTGTATAAACTGTGCATGATGATTTACGCCACATAATTATACAAATTATTCCGTTCTCGAGCTAGGATACCATTTGAAAAGAGAAACATGTAATATCTATTTAAAATTTCGTAAATTGGTCTGACCAGGACGGGAATACGCATGCTTGGAGCATTATGGCTAAGAGCACCTATCACTGTATGATTATAAAAAAATCTCTATGGGTTTCTGATTGCGACGCCTATTCTATTACACTATATAGTAATGTTATCAGTGACCATATGTACCTAGTGCAGCGCCGGCCGCTTCGATGGCACCCTTGTGACGGGATGTCTCTAAAACATGTATTATTATCTTTAGACATTTCTCGCATATCCCAATATCTTTCTCATTGAAACGTATCAACAGTGACGCTAAATCGCAACATGCCTAAAAAACCATAAATCCATTATTACTCAGCAAAAAATAAATTACACTTGTTAATGATAGATGAGGAAATAAAAAACCAAAGTGATATCAAACCAGAAACATTATCTAATTATATTGATTAAATTTCTTTGTTACCTTCACATTTAGCCAAAGGCAGTTGAGCACAATTTGATGTAACCCAGAGATTTTAGTGTGATCAACAGCATCAAGAGGATCGTAACCAGATGAAGTGATCATGTTTTGCACCATATCATTCATCTTCGAGAAATCTGAACTTGTCAATGCTTGCTGTTCCCAAGCAAAATGATTGGAAATTCCTTCTAAAGTTTCTAAAAGTTGTAGTATATTGTTGTATGGCACAGCAATTGGATGTGTTTTACTAACACATACATCTAAGACCACATACAGAATACTTATAAGAGAATGCAACTGTTTGCCGTTCTCTATTGACTTAACAATGCTTGTTTTTAAGCTATATTCAGTTATAAGGTCATTGTATGCAAAAAAGAAAATATCTTCAACAGTCTTAAAGTTTGTACCAATAGTTTTCTCATTCTCTCTTTCTTTTAGAAGTATATTAGCAATGAGTTTAAACATACTTTGGCTACAACTGATTTGATAGAAAAATTTGCTTCTCATAGCTGTTTGTGCATCATCTACCAAACTGCTCCATAACCGAGGTCCTTTGATTTCTTCATTGTAATGATACAATAATAGTTGCAACACATTTTCTCTAACATCATCAGCTGGATCTCTCAAGAGAGTTAACAATTTCAAAATAAAATCCTGTCCGTGCAGCATCCATTTTCCTTCATCCTTCAATAGCTGTAACATTGTCCTATAAGATGGTTTAACCTGCTGCTGTTTCTTCTTTGGTAGCTCACTCAAACAACTCAGTACTATTTGACATATTTTGATACTTGAAATTTTCCTTTGATAGTTACCATTAAAATTCAGTGAATTAATGATAAACTGTTGGATATTTGTGAAGAAATTCAACAAATATTTCATATTACTGTTTTGTTCACTTTTATGAATATTTATAAATATGGTATGTAACCAAGTCAAGAATGATTTCAAACTGCTCAGCATACTCAATCTTAATACAGTACTATCAGAGTTTATATTATTATGTATATATTTTAAAATTAAATCATATTCAAATTGTTTTGGTAATAATTTGCTGTGAGATATACAAACAATTTCAAATGCCAGCATTCTAACATAAGGATTACAGTGTTCAATACCATGCAACACCATAAATTCTGTAGTTTTGAATTCAACTGTGTTCCAATTTTTAGTTACAAGGCTTAACTTATTAGCTTGCTTCAGTAAATGTAAACTACCATACAACTTTTTTTCTAAATCTTGGTACTGATCCAATCCATCAAGTATAACTTTTAATAATGATGGAAATTTCTTTAATGTTGCTATACACCAGTAATTACTAAAGTTTTCAATTGCTTTAGGTATTGAGCCAGTCAATATCTCTAGTATATCACACAGGAATATTTTACACCATTGGTCTTCTGCTATTAATTGATTTAATATGGCAAAGTACATATCAGCACCGGCCGATACTAAGCCAGGTTTGTGTAGGCTGTTAATGAGTCCATTTCTCCAATTGTTAACAACAAAAGCAGCTGTAATATCTCCTTTATATTTCACTATTATTTCTGAAAGCATCAAATATTTAGCTTTACTCCAATAAAAGTTACCAATCTCCTGAGCTATTAAGTGGTATAGGTCATCATTAAGAATTCGAATTAAAGTTTGGAATATTCCTTTGTTTAAATCTCTCACACCAGTTATAGGATTCTCCCAGTTATGGTTGACCAAGTTCAGCAACCTTATTAGATTGCTTTCATTATACATATACTTTTCCATATCTGTACCTAAAACTTTCTTGAATGAGTTAATTGTTTTGAAAACTAAAAATGTGTATTTTGAGTATTCATATGCCATAGACATTAATAGATCAAAAGTAGTTTGAAAGACATTCTCTATGATTTCAATGCTACCTGTTCTTTTGTAGGTTACAAAAGAAGATTGGAACATTCCATACATTAGAGATACTACAAGAGATGATCTTAAATTATTTTTGCAATTTCTTTCTCTCAAATGTAATCTGTTAATTATCAGAGAATTTATTTCTTGTAAGTAATCTTGTCTTTCCATTAAGGCAAGAACAGCATAGAAGCATGTGGCACAAAGTAATTGGTCATCAAATTTTACTAAACCAACATGTAAATGTGTCCACAACAATTTTGTTATTTTGTCCCACACATGTTCATGTGAGTTTGGGTGGGTTGAGTATTTTCTGGCCAATGTTAAAATTTCCTGTAAGTAATAAATACACTTGTTAACACTTAACTGTAAATTAATTGTAACCTTTTTGGATAATAATGGTTTAACTAATTGTAAAGGCAAACATACTTACTCATAATATTTAAAAATAAAAACAATCAAAATTAACTTTGTCTTGTTACATTGTTGATGGACAATGTAACAAGATGAAGCCTTAGCTTATACCTTCGCCATGTAGGCAAAATAAAAAAATAAAACGAGTATTTAGGAAGCAATATAATTTATGAAATAAAAAATCAATATGTACCTGTATAATGTCTGATGACAATGTATTTGTGGGTACATCAAGTTTCATTAAAATAACACTGAATTCATCCATGATTTTAAATTTCCTGAAATGAAAATAATAATAAAACCAACGAGAAAAGGTTATCTGATAAATACAATTTAAAATATCTATTTACCTATTGAGCCCGATAAGTTCAGTTATGGTAAAGAAGGTAAATAAAACCCAATTAAACATTAATATTAATTTACTAATATTTACAATGCATTACTACTTAGGTAACAAACATTATTGAGTGTCTTTAATTGGCTCATAGCCTTCTTTCTGTATTTTTTCTTTATAAACATTAAAGTCCCTTTTCCTGTCGAAATGCAACACCCACTGTGTCGGGCAGGATTTCTCGAAAGCCCTCCTAAATTCAAGGCAAGCTTTAGGCCGTATTGTGCTATCTTTAATATTTTCTTTATCTAGACATTCCCAATAACGATCTCTCGAATCCCAACAAGCTTTTCTTTGTTCTTTATTTGGATATGACATCTTTAACGCCTATTCGTCAGTAAAAAGACCTAAAATGAAAATAAATTTACGTGTCTAACCTTGGATATATTATTTAGCCTATTATCATTTTTAATAAATTAAAAATAACTTACTCTACGTGCAATATCCTAACTATACACAATTATATTAAGAAACTGAAACTAAATTTCTCAGTTATTAAAATAAATATTTTATAATTTACAGGATATTTTAAATTTTATCCAAAAATTCGAAACAATTTAAACAGATGCATGGACAGGATAATTCATTTATAACCTCAAAGTTATTGACATTGACAATTATTTTCTTTAAATCAAGAGATGACAAAAGTGTCTGTACAAAGTCTTTGCCTATTATATATCTCTTAAATTAATATTTTAATTTGATAGTTTCGCGTAATTACTATCATCCACTAAATTTTTAATAATATTTAATGTATTACAAATTTAGTTTATATTGGTCCTTAGAATCACAGAAAAGTGAACAATGACAATGGCATGATATTGACATTTCATTAAATGTCACGATAGCATATACCTCTACAAAACAAAATACTTTTCTGTTTTGTCTTAGATTCGTAATGATTTTTTATTATTCTTTATAATTTATTAAATTAGTTTGTAACAAATTTGCTTTAATTTTCAATGTTAAATATTACACTACAGTGTAATATTGAACTAGAAGTTTAGATTTCAACACTATTCATTGATTTGTATAAAACTCCAAAATGGACTTGAAACTGTGCAGAATTTGTTTAAAAGAAAACGGTAGGATCTCATTATTTGAAAAGTGTGAAAATGCTATGATATACAGTGCTAAAATAATGCAATGTGTTAATATAAACATAACTGAAGGTGATGGTTTACCAAACTCCATGTGTGATAGCTGCGCCAACGAACTGGATGTGTCGTACAGATTCGTGCGAAAGTGTGAGGCATCCGACCGAGCTCTCCACTGCCTGTCTGTCATTGAAGTAAAACTGGAAGAGATCAAAAGCGAAGATATTAATAATGAATTAAATCTCAGCGTGGATAGTGATGTATATTTGGACGATTTTACGAAACTCGATACGCCGGAACCAGAGTCAGATGAAAGTCAGCATCAAATAAAACACAAAAGAAAAAAACGTACTAAGAATGGACCAATACAGTGTGTCGTATGTGGCATGATGAAGATCTCCCATTCAGCTATGGAGATACATATGAGATCACATACTGGTGAGAAGCCATACCCATGCCAAATTTGTAAAGCCATGTTTAAAACTAAAGGCTCCTTAAAAAGACACAACGAAACCAGGCATTTGGATAGGGAAAGAAAATTCACATGTGAAACTTGTGGCAATAGTTTTTATAGGAAAAATGATATTATTATACATATGAGAGTGCATACTGATGAGAGGCCATACTCTTGCACGTTTTGCACTAAAAAATTTAGACAAATTGCGTCACTGAATCGTCATAAACGAATACACACTGGCGAAAAGCCATACTCTTGTCCGATTTGTGCTAAGAAATTCTCAGACTCGTCTCTCGTGAACAAACATCTGACTGTGCATACAGATGAGAAGAAACATACCTGCCACCTGTGCAGCAAGTCTGTAAAGAGCAAAAGTGCACTCAGGACTCATTTGAGTCTCCATTCTAATGAAAAACAGAACATTTGCAACTTTTGTGGCTTAGCTTTTTCAATGAAAGGCAACCTACAAACACATATACGAAGGATCCATTCAGAGAAATCGGGTGAATGTTCAGTATGCTTTAAAACATTCTCCGACTTGGAAGTTCACATGCGAAAGCACACTGGAGAGAAGCCGTTCATTTGCAAACTGTGTAACCAGGGATTTGCTACTAAAAGAAGCCTGTCACATCACAAGGCCTTCAAACATGAGAATGCCAGTAAATATAAATGTTCTATAGGAGACTGTAGTAGGACTTTCCCAACTGTTATGATGCTAGAGTTCCACCTTCTCAAACAGCACACAAATAATACTCCGTATGTGTGCCAACATTGTTCTAGAGGCTTTTTTCGTACCAGTGATCTGTCTCGACATCTTAAAGTTAGCCATATGGATACCCTAGCAAAGATTCCATTAAAATTAAATGGCACTTAATTTATTGTATTTATTTAATAAATATATTAAAAAAATTGTATTAAGGAATATAATATTATATAAAGTCATAGTATATGTAATTGGAGAGAGTTATAAAACTGTTTAGTTTTAAGTTATGCTGTACTAGTCATCATTAAAATAAATTTTTCAAGTTTTATATTTTTCATATGCTTAATTTATTACAATTCTTATTTAAAAGAACTATGCCATTTTCAACCTTAAAATCACCAGAAAATATGCAATCAATGAAACATGAATCAAGCATTGGAAATTAAATAATTGTGAAATATTATAATACTAAACAATAAGTTAGCATATCTTTATATTGTCTATGGATAAATGAAATATAATTGAATCCATATTTGTATTAATTTAAAATTAACATACTGAATATTATGACATTTTTTAAACTGGTTTACTAAAACATAATACAAATCAAAATAGTAATTCTTATAAACAATACAAAATTGATTTATATTTTAACATAATTAACCTTAATCATAATTATTATGCTTTATATATTTATAAATACATACATACATAAATTCATACATTTATGGATTGAGCCATATTCTAAAGTCTCTATTATCAGGTCTTTTAGAGAGATGTGAAAGGTTTTTTCAGGCTTGTCAATGCTCACAACCTGATTCAGTTGCATAATGGTGGGTCAAAATTTTTTTTATTAAAGAATGAAAATGGAATGGTTGCCCCGCCTGCGTTATCGGTATACGCTGACAGGGCACCAGTAAAGGATGATAGGTAAGGATGAAGGTACTTATTTATTATCAGGCGGACCGTATCCTTGTTTGCTGCCATCATGAAAAAAAATGAGTACTTACCTATCACTTGGTTAATATAACATATGGCTTCACACAACTTCCCGAACAGACCCCCATCCTGTCCGATTGGGGAGGCGAACCCCAAAATCAACGGCGCGGAAATCCTCGCCGGCTATAGTTTCAAAAGCGCGCGTCTGTCCGCCACAGACAAAGCAGCACGCCGTCGATAAAGCTGCACCAGGTGAGGTGTTATGCTCCTTTCTCTTTTCTATAGGTAACAATATTGTAATGAGGCTGTCTCACTCTCGCGCCAATTAGGCGAGCGAGGTGAGGTGAGCGATACGCGGCCGCGACTCGCGAGTGTACGTCGCGTCTATAGTACAGTGCTGAGGACGTTAGCCCGCGATCGTTCGCCGCAGCGGACGTCTCGTCACGCTCGCACAATCGTTCCACAACCGTGGCAGGTGTCAGTGTCGTCATGTCCAAACCGTGAAACAGTTCTTCGTGTGTGCTTCACTGTTACTTCCTTCCTTTTCGGATATCGGATTGTTCTTCGTGTTTCCAGTATGGGCGAAGTGAGTACCGTTCGTTTTATTATCCGCTTGGATTTATTTGGCCGGAATGCGAACGCGCGACCGTGCTCCAGTTTGCCGGGCAGACGGAGGCTCGCGCTTGGTCCTGTGGTTGTGCCGCCGAGTTCGTAGGTCGTCGGCATAGGATACAGTTGGCCGATTCTCGCAGTGCGGCTGCGGTGGCGTCTGACCGCGCCGCGGGTCGGCGCCATTCACGAATCTCCGGATTAATTAGCACTTTCGTACGCGAGAATAATGGTGCGAGTTTGGAAATGTATGCCGAGGTGCTCTGTAGAAAGCTCAAGAGGCCCCAAATAGAGGTTCGATCGGCCGCATCGTTAAATGGACACGAGATTAGCGGTATACTGTTATACCTACATCTGATAACAATAGTCGATAGTTATTATCTTCGATATTGTTTTTCTGTTTGTTCCTATTCTATCGAACGTTCCTGCAATAATAGGCTATCTGCCTTATCTCGGTCATTATTAGATAGGAACCTAATAGGAATTAACAAAGTTAAAACCAACCTTATTGGAATCATACCTTATAATAGTTTTAATCTTTGCTACAATTATAATCGAGCCCTATCTATGTTACCTACACAGATATATTTAATATCTAGAAGGGTAGATTCACAATACTAAAACAAGTAGGTATCTAGTAAGTTATTACCTATCTATTTATTATCCAATTTTTAATATTACTTACCTAATTTTAATCAGATTGGTCTACTAGTTGTCTTCCATAAGCATAATTTACATCTTTTATAGAAGAGGTAGTGAATAGCAATGAAGCATACGATCAGCCTAATGTTAAGCGGCTATTGTTACCTTAACACGTGAACACAACACCAAATACATCATTCGTAATTTGACCCTCGTGACATCAAAATTTTTAAATACACTAGATACTTATTTATACCCTTTAATTTCCCTTGACAATATGTCACCTTTTAAACCGGAATACCAGAAGAACCGGAATACTTGTAAGTCAGCTGTCTGGTGGCAGAAATAGGTAAGGCAGGCAGCCAAATAACTTATATTACTTAATACTCCAACTGGAGTTCAATGCTCCATATATGTACTTAGTGGAGAGTCGTCTCTCAAGAATCTCCGTCAGTTATTGTCAATTATTACGAGTATTTAAGTTTACATATTTTTCGGACCTTTTTTTAATGGATGATAATGGACGGCGTTACCGTCTGTGCTACTGGTATAGGTTGGCGGGACACCAGTGATGGATGATAGGTGAGGATAAAAAGTATGGCCTGCCTATCGTGTAAATACACCTACGATTCAGCACAATGGTTCCCAGAGGGAACCGCGTGGAGATCAACCGGACAGGGTATATTGCAAGCAATGGAATGGCTAGTCTACATTACTGGGGGGAAGGGATTGTTAGCAATGAAGTTTGACAGACCCATTGCAAGCAGTATGCCCTATTATGTCGACCTCCACGTGGTTCCCCCTGGAAACCATCGTGAACAATTCTTGTTGAATTCGTCACGATGGGCTAACTGACCTGCTTCATACTCACTTTTCATCCTTCATTGGTGCTGCGCCGGTGTATACCGATAGCGCGAATGGGGTTACCATTCCATTATCATCCATTAAAAAGAAAGTGTGCATTACTAACAATCCCATACCCCCTATTCTTCGAGCTGTATTGGTTACATTTGTGGATATCCACACCAGATTCTATAGCTCTGACAGTTTAACTTGAATCATAAGGCTAGAAAAGTAGAACCACAGTATAAGTAATTTGTATAGTAGAACTATATTTCGATTCCGTAAGTATTAGGTGTCAGTATTCATATTTTAGTGTTTATTTTACACTACACTAGAATACGCACTGATAATCCTATTAAACTAATACATTCCATATATTTATTACCAGTCTTACATAAGCAGTTTGTAAAGTGGTACACTTAAATACTGGCCTAAATAGGTTGCTATTTCTGGCATGAAGCAGCAATACCGATTTTATCATCTATGTATGGTAAATACATGCGTTAGGGATAACTGTTTGTCCATGACCTGTGTAATCATTGATAGATATTCTTTATATTTTTTTTAATTCAATTTATTTATTGCATTCTACAATATTATTATGGAAGATGTTAATAATTGATACAGTACATCGTAGACCTTGTCGGACACAGCAATTTGAAGCGAGGAGGGCGCCGATCCTTAAATTTTCATAAAGATTTCAATAATTAATTCAATTTCATCAATGTAATTAAATTCTAATTAATATCCAAATTTATTTAATGATTTTAACGATTTTTTTTTATTTCCATATGTTTTATTTTAAACTACATTAAATTTTAATGCAATTTAATGTAGTTGTTCATATTTTCCGAATACTAGTCAGATTTTTTTTATATAATTTAGATTCAATTGTTACCTGTAATTGAGTACCTGTGTCCCATTTGTGTTTCTATATTTGTATTTGTATGACTGTATTTCAATTTGACATGGCAGTGAAAATATAGGGTACAAAGGCATAACTCATTAGTCCCCAGGAATAGTAAGGTATGATGGGTATCATATGCGACACGGTATACTCTGTAACATGCATGGTACTGTTCATATTTATAAGCGACAATTATAAATTCCCATCAGGTGGGCTGTCAGCTTGTTTGCCATTCTAAATTACGTAAAATAAACTCAAATTTTAATATAATTATCTGAATATAAGGTCCATTACATAGGATCAGTACCAGTAGATACTAAAAATGGTACTAAACACTAGGTATTGCATAATAAAACATGGTTACATTTTTTATTACGCATAAAAATTTTTACACAAGGTTCGAGTCCTTTATGATTCTCTCTGACTGTACCCATACGGAACGTCGCATGTATACAGTATATGAGTACGGTTCAAGAGAGTGGGTACAAGTGTAAATTGCTTTCTTTTCTAATCTATAGCAGGCGGACAGCCCACTTCAAAATTGGAAACTATCGCTTATAAACATGGATATCTTTGAAGGGTCCTTAATTTCCATGGTGCCCCTAATATGTGTGTAGTAGTTGTTCCTTACATGTTCTCACAACTAAAGACTAACATGTTATGGCTCCGTATTCAGTAATTTCACTGTAATGTCCCATTTTTTAAAATGAAACACAACTACGCAATCACAGCTGTTTTGGTGACTCAAACTTTGTCACGAAGCGAAACTAAATGGTAAACAGCATACGGCTAGAGTGACGTTACAATTAGAGTCACTTATCGTAGAACTACTGTGAACAGGTAGAAAAATAATCAGTTATTCTCTACAAGCATTGCCAATAGGAATATACGATTTGGAGTGGCAACCAAGCACGGTGTATTCAATGGAAAGTGGTAACCGCTGCCTATCTCAGGTCGTAACGCATGTTTTGTCCGTGTACAGCAGCAGTTTCTCGTTAAGATGTCGTGTATATGACCTCCTCGATGAAATGTACAGCTATTAGCTCACAGCATGTTCTAGATTCATGCCTAACATACTTCAAATTGCTGTAACGTAACACTTTATTAATTGCAATTGTGAATATTTGTCAATGAAGGACCATGGTGTTCTACTTCTTGCCTTCTGTATTTTTACTGCCATATCTTACCTTTCAAATCGAAATATAGTTACGACTCGTAGATATTATATACTGCAAAATTCTAATATATATCGAAATATCTTTATAAACAATGTAATAAGTCACCCTTTCGAGGAGAAAATAGTAAAATCTATAATATCAAAAAACATTTTTACTTCATTTTTCTATTTTATAAGTTAATTAAGCTATTTATTTTTAGTTGCTTTAGGCGCGTGGAAATTTTTCTATATTGTAGTAAATAAGAAATCCTAAGTTTTCATTTTAGCGTAATCTTCTGTTGTATTATAGCTACGTATAATATTTCAAATTTGATGACATAATTTTCAGAAAAATAGAATTACCACTAAATTGCAATTTGATTATAATAACAACCAATAATTTCGTCTGTTTCAGTCAATGCTGAAAGAAGATCCCCTCTCGAGGATCCAGAGAGAAATTATAGAAGTGACGGAGAGGGAGAAAGAATTTAAAGAAGGTCACTTTAGAATAAACAGACTGCTATCAGAATCTACCATAGATGTTAACCACCAAAACGGCCACGTCAATGGGGACGTTGAAAATAAATCGCCAAGGACTCTGAATAGAGCGGTATCTACCTCCCATCTCTTGGGTCCTATAGGACCCCCGACACCACCGGTAACTTCCATCTTTACCACTAATGGTTACACGAGGCGGTTTACACCGCAGACTGGCACCAAAGGCATCATGCAGCGGTTTATTGCCAATAAAGGTAAAATGCCGGTCAGCTCTCCCGTAATACCGACGACGCCGACTGTCAACAGAACGTCACCAGTTTTCATTAATCCCGTACCTATTACTCCAATTATATCTCCAGCAATACCTCCAGTTGCTATAACACGAACACCAGAAAAACCTATTAGGAAAGGTTACGTGCCCGTCGAGGAGAAGATTCAAAAAGAATTGAAGGAAATGAAGGACAGAGAACATGAATTAAAACGCATGAGGAAGAAACATAAACCTTTCGACCTCGAGTTGAGTGATAACGAGACCAGTTCGGAATCAGACGATGACGACATTCCGTTGCCAGGTAAACTTAAAGCAACAAAGTCGATAGGAGAGCTGTATGAAGCACTCAACGAGGAGGTACGATCACCATCACCGTCGAGGAATAGCTCGGGCCATGATTCTTTAGGCAGTCTGAAGCCGGCGAAATCGTTGGCCGAACTCTGCGACATCGAGCCGGGTCAAGAATTCCTCGCTCCTAGTTCCACGCGCCTTATCGCGCAGTGGGAGTCGATTATTCAACAAAAGCAAGAGGCCGGAGCGGCTTAAATAGTATGTGTTTAAAATAGAAGGCTTGTGGGTTAAATTGTGTTATTTAGGCGTGTAACGCCAAATAAGTTTCTGTGGACGATTACCAACATGGTTATCAACATTATGCATCAGTTACGAAGTGTATCGAGTGCAAGGCCGAATAAGTGTCGCCGTATTCGGTATGTTACGTGAGAAATACGATATTTGTGGTAGGTAGGTAGCTAATGTAGTAGATGTAGGCTGCAAAGTGAGTGCACCCTCGGCTCGTTTTACAGACTGTCACACCCGAAACATCTGCGTAGTATCGTTGCGCAAACGTTGAAATTAATCGAACGCCTCGGCGCGCTAGGTTTTACCGATCGATTTCTTTCGTCGGCTGATCGGTTGTGGAGCAATTAATTTTCTCCAGATTGTGAACAATGCAAATGATGGTTATCCGTAACAGCAATTATCTTGTGCATGCACGCTGTTGGAAAGCGGTCGATACATGATGCGAACTCGTCTCCCAAGTGTGAGTAAAATAGTTTCTTCCTATTGTTTAGCGCGTACTCTACGCTACTGAAAAACTGTTTTATTTTTTTATTTTATGGGAGCGCCGCTTTCCCGAAGCAATACGGCACTGAGCGGGCCCGTGCATATCACACTTATTATGTTATTGCAAAAATGTAGCTTTTTCTCGGTATTGTGAGAAAATGCACAATATTCAATATTAGAGTACAAAAAAGAGATAAAGGAATCGACATCAGCGCTCACTGCCGTGTTGTAGTATGATCACAATCGTGTCACGTACAGTTTCTGCCTTCCCTATGACTAGCGAGGGTTTACTATAAGGCCATGAACTTACTTTGCTGTTCTGTTGTTGTTTTTCACTGTGCCTATTATATACGAAGACGGTTATGTAATATATTCTATATAAATAGACACATTATGTTAAATCAAGGGTCGTGATTTGAATTTAGAGCATTTATATTCGAGTATGTATTCACAGTACACTTTCCTTCATAGGTAGCGTTTTACGCCTCGTGACTAATGTTTATAAATACGCAAGTAATAAAATTAATTTCTATCCTAAATAATACTTTCACGTAATGTTTATGTAATTAGCTATTCACTGTGATGAATGTTGAATGATATAATCGTGGAACGCTGCGCGTTAGGGCAGGGTGCTGGAAAGGTTTACCTCGCTGGATTCGGATCTTAAAGGTGATAATCATGTACTTAACGATTGTACTTCAATTGTGAATAAAAGTGGCAACTATGCAAGTATAGATGTATCAGCTAACACTACACATGTCAAACGAATTGTGCCTTTTCTTAGATTTGTACCTACATTTAGAAATTAGCAAAATAATGACAAATATATATGGTATATATAAAGATGTTACTCATTACAACAATCGTTTGTCATGAACTGTTTTTGATAGTGAATGCGTTCCACCACTTACGTATCGTAATAATATATTAGTCAAATTAATTTAATATTAAATAGAGATAGAGAAATTTTTACATTAATTATTGAGATTGATAGTGTTAATTGTTGCAATATTTTTTACCTACGTGTTTAAGTTTGTTTTTATCTAAAAGTGCCAGGAGGTTCGTAAAATTTAACTAATTTATTTTGATGGGACTTAACGTACCGGGGCAGGGACTGAGTAACATTCCTATTTACTTACATATTATATTATACATATACATGTTTGCCTAATGTATTACATACTTTCAAATAAATATTGTGATATGAATTTGCCTTAAAATATTGTTATGTAACATTTTGTAATATTTAAAATGGAAATCTATATATATTATATCTATATTATGTACTTAGAATACAGGAGTTTACTTACTGTATGCCGATGCCTAGTAAATGAGATGTTAAATTATTTAAGATTTACGCAATAAATGAAATACAATCAGATTTGAGTATTCGAAGTTATTTTATTTCAGATTTCAAACAATTACGACCCGTGTGAATTTAGAATAAAAAGTGTCTTATATGTTAAATACAGAGCCATCCATTTATATATCAAATGTTTTTACTAACTTATATATACATAGGTATATAACATTATATTATGTAGAAATACAGATAGGTTATTTTACATTAATCATTCTGATAAGACACCTTGTTGATTATACTAATTTTTATATATTTGTGGTAGTGTTTAGATGCAGTGACCTTTGTTCAACAAACAAATTCGGTCAAATGTTCAATTTAAAAATTGTATTTGGCAAAACTGCCTGTACTAAACAAAGAACGAGTTAGGTAGATTAAAATTTAGGCCAGCTCCACTTGTCTCTACCAATGGTCCCCCTGGAAAACTGGGGGGTAAACGTCAGAAGTGAGATCCATATTAAACTTATATCAACGCCATTGGGTACGTCTTATCATTCTGCCATAATTTTTTTTCCTTAACCCTCGATTTATTAAGAATGTTCATGACTTACTTATCGAAGTGTAGCAATGTTGCAATTGTCTGTCAAATATCAGAAACAATTTAACGTTTTTCAATGTTTTGACTGATTATTTTAGCAGTGCAAAAAAGGGGTAAAGCGGTTTCTTCAGGGTCGGCAACGCGCGCGTAATGCCCCTGGTATTGCAGGCGTTCATAGGCTACGGTAACCGCTTACCATCAGGTGACCCATGTGCTTGTTTGCCATCTGAGTGGTAAAAAAAGTTACTAAAATTAGCGTAAACTAAATGATTAATCATGCAATAGTATTCTTATTACGTTATCAATAAAAATTTTTGTTTTGATGGCAAAATGTAATGTGAAATTGAAATGTGATTGCGACGTTGCGTCACTTTCTTGTGGACGCTCTTAATTTATGTCATAGACAACGTGGAATATAATTATTATAAAAAAAAAACAATACTATACCGTCATATAAAACTTTTTATTATAATTCCTTTACTATCTTAGATTATAAACAAAAATGAAATATTTTTTTACTGAAAACCATGTTTTTGACGTTACACGTCCTTTTAAAATCATATAAAAATTTACATACACGTACTTTATTCTGTCTGTATCATCGAATTTGATTAGTTATTGTACAAAATAAATAAGGACTCCATATTGTAAGAATAAATATATAAAATAATATCGCAAACATCTGATATCTGGGTATTTAGGCAACACGTATGCAGACACGTGGTTAATTACTTATATGAAATACCAGCACATTCGATAAATAACCGCACCGATATCTGATAACTTGATATTTATTGTACCTATAATAATTATAATATGTTTTTTACTCACGATTTCCGGTGAATGTGGCTTTTACATACATTAAACTGTAGCTAACTGTAAAAATCATGAATGACATAAAATAAAATTAAAATAAAACACAAAATCGTGAGACGTTTACAATAACGGGATTAACAAATGCACGTTCATTTTCACCATATTAAATCCCATCGCTGGACACAGGAGCCTTTTTTTATACAACTTAGAATGGCAAACAAGCTGACGGCCCATCTGATGGAAAGTGGTAACCGTCGCCTATAGACTTGAACAGTACCATGGACATAACAGAGTATACTGTTTCGCCCATGATACCCGCCATGCGTTGCCATTCCTAGGAACTCAGATGTTATTCCTCTGTACCCTGTAAATTCACGCCATATCCCACCCTTCAAACCGAAACACAGCCATGCAAACACAACTGCTTCACGGTTGAAACACGAATGGGACAGAGGTCAATCACAAGCAATCGACTTTTGTACAAAATCTCCCTCTAGTAGCCATTTCAAAAGATACATAGAATATAGCCCAGTATCACGGTGGGCGGCTTAGTATAAGGTTTTATTTTATATTTCCTTTCATACATACATCAGCCTTTAAACGTCCACTGCTGAACATAAGCCTCCCCCTTAGGGGGTTTTGCCACGCTTGGCAGGCAGATTGGCAACTATAACTAGGTTTTAGAGATATTTTAAGAAAGACGCTGCTGTCCATCCCTCGTCTTCCCTTAGTCGGTTCCCACGGCGCCTACGGGAAAAGAAGGGGTGTTCTATTTTATGCCGGAACTACACGGATATATATTTTATACATACATTGGTGTATAAACATAGTGATAGCTCACTGAAAAGTAGTAAACGGTGTATAGATACAACCAGCACCACAAACGTCACAGAATATACTGTGACACCTATGATACTCGTCATGTCATGCTATTCCTGATGTTTAACATGTTATAAGCCAGCACTCAGTAATTTCACTGCCGTATGTCAGAGTTTATTAATTTATGACCCTATGCAGGCACCATTTTATCACGTTATCTTTTAAACTAACAAATCGTGGGGGTTGCTATCTGAAGTCTCAACAGTGACTTCTTAACGAATCTCGCAGTATGTTTATGTTTTATCGCCTTGTTAGGTGTGATTTATGAAGGTAGTAACATGATTTTTGAATAATTTAAAAAAGGAACTTCCTCGTAATTTTTGCTATATATGTATAAATAAATATTTTATACAACAAGGCTGGTAATCGAATATAAATTCCGACTGATGGTAAACGATTAACGCAGTCCTGCCTAAGAGCTTGCAACACGAGGAGCATCTCTCATGTTTCAAATGAGGAAATTTACATATATTTATTTATTTAAACATTAATGCACAGTAAAATTCTATGTACATATGGCGGACTTAACACCGGACGGTGTTCTCTACCAGTCAACCATTGTGCAAACCGAGAAATAAGTAGGCGGTGCATTATTGAATAGGGGGAAAATGAAGCAATATTTGATATTGTCATATATAATAAACATATAAAATAATATATGAAAATAAACAAAAAAAATGTCGTAATTAACGCGAGTATAGTCACCGAATACAGGTTAAAAAATTTGCAAAATGATATAATTTTCTTACGACCAAAACATTAAAGGCGAACGACTTCTCACGATCAATTCGTAATTAATACAATGACTTTCCATAAAATAATGACTGTAATCCTATTATTGATTATTGTGATGCTCGTAAAGTGTTTATTAGACAATATAATTGCATCAGCAGCGTGATAATAGTTCGCAAACCGGCCATTGTGGACCCGTCAATGGGTGTTTCGAAACCGGTGGCGGGCCATTGTTCCTACGCTGCATAACTGGACTGCGGATTGCGGACATAATTCCGCATTGATATTATAATATACAATAACTGAGACAATGCTATTTTAAATTATTGCCATATTTACGCGTGCTTTTTTTTTTTATACCACTGTGGTGGCAAACAAGCATACGGCCCACCTGACGGTAAGTGGTTACCGTAGCCTATGAACACCTGCAATACCAGAGGTATGACGCGTGCGTTGCCGACCCTGAAGAAACCTCTTTACTCCCCTTTTGAAGAACCCCATGCTGTAGTCTCTTGGGAAAAAAACGGCAGGGAGCTCATTTCCACAATCTGAGTGTTCGTGGGAGGAAACATCTCTGAAACGGCGAAGTACGCGACCATTGAGTACTGTACTGTGACAAATCTCATTATTAGATACTGGAAATATGTTTAAAAATAAAATTTAACGCAGTATTGTATTAGTTAAAACCTTTTTTTTTCTACTATTACATTCGATTTCCTAATATCTATAACCTGCAATAATATCTTTATATCATTAATAGGTTGTGGTTTCTGGAATATAATTAAATATACTAAAAATTTAACCAAAACTAAGAACGATTTTGATCATTCTTTTTTTAATTACAACCATGTGTCGGTACTATTTTATTGCTCACATATTATTTTTGTCACCATTAATTATCGCAATTTTTTTGCGTATGTGCGTGTGTGTGTGTGTGTTTTACCGATTTTAGCAGGCCCTTTCTGCCTACCATACCAAAATTTACAATTAGTGTGATTGTATTACTTGCCTATTGATATTGCCTTATTATAAAAAAAAATGACTGCATAACCTTTATTTGGATGCTTTTTTATGCAATTTAGAATGGCAAACAAGCTGAGGGCCTACTTGATGAAAGTTGTATTCGTCGCCCATAGACATGTACAGTACCATAGACATAACAAACAGACATAACATTCTATATCGCCTATGATACCCTTCATGCGTTGCCATTCCTGAGAATTAAGGTGTTATCCTTCTGTACCCTATTATTTCACTGCCATATCCCACCCTTCAAACCGAAACACAGCCATGCAAACACAACTATTTCACGGCAGAAACACGAAAAAATATAAAAAGTAATTTAATCACTATAATAACACGGCCTTTAAATTGAAATTTCATTGATAAGTACTATTTAGCAGCATATTTGTAGAGAAATTGGTTTTAGGCCGTAGGCTTCAATTATTATCGCTTGATAGGTCGGTAATCTAATGTCATTAAGTCTTATAGTAAACTATTGTACAGTGTGGCGTTATAGGAAGCTAACTACAAGCACATTATATATTATTACAATCAATTTTCTGATGGCAAAGTTTGGAATCGGTCTTTAAATTCCTAAATTCAGTACCATGTCGTAATAACATATTAACGTAACGGACACAAGTTTCTCTCTGTATCAGTTGTGGATATCATAGCCTATGATTACCATGGCACTAGACAGGCGGCTAAATATATATATATGCTTGTATTTTTAACTCTTTCTTGCCTGGCAAATCATGCTTTATTCCCTTTGTTACTTCTTACAATATCCTAACGATATGCGGATTCTAATAGCAATGCAACTAAGGCTTCTACGTTTCGGGAGCAGCTGTTCCCTAAGAAAAATGACCTAATGATGCAGAAAACTTAAAAAAAAAAACTATTCTTATCCTGTCACTACAGGAAGTTTTTTTTTATACAACTTAGAATGGCAAACAAGCTGACGGCCCACCTGATGGAAAGTGGTAACCGTCGCCTATAAACATGAGCAGTACCATGGACATAACATAACAGAGTATACTGTTTCGCCCATGATACCCCCAT